AATGTCTGCTTTCATGTTTAATATGACTTCAATAAAGTGTTTATTTATCTCATTTGCATTCCAAATGAGTTTTATTGCGAAGTTATTTTTGGTTTTGCAATTATTTACCAAATATTTTAAATCATTTCACATATCTTTAGAATATTGAGCATGCATGTATTTAAAATATGATTTTTTCTCCCTTATATTACCCCCTTAGTAACAGCCCTCATGGCTGTTACTAAGTGACGCAATACTTTGTAGTCATTCCATTGATTTATATTTTTCGTAAACTAATCACCGAGCATATTTCTTTGAAATTCTAAGTCTGATATGGAACATGTATGTCAAGTAAAGTAATGATATTATTAGAAAGAAAACCGACTTTACTGTCTTGTATATCTGGCAATTCATATAATATTCTCCATGGTATAGATTCCACATCTGATTTAAATTGACTGTAAATTAAATTTTTGAAATTCCGAGTAGTAATAAATTTGTTTGTATTAGTTTTGACATCACAACCAAGTTTTAAAACAATCTTTTCATGATCGCTTATTTCTGGGATATGTTTTACTTCAATAGACAAAATTTTGTCCTCAGTAAATAAAATTACATAATCAAGCAGAGTCGATGTGAACTGCTGATTCTAGTTACTTGATTTACCATCTGCTTTAATCCAAGACCATCTAATACATCTGTAATGAACTGTGTGGAATAAATATTGATATTCAACAGATCAACATTAAAGTCGCCCAAGCAGAGTAAATGATCTACACTTGGCAGTACTAATGATAAAATTGTTTCCAAAACTCCAAAGAAAGTTTTATAAAATGCTTCATAAGGGTTATATAAAACACCAGTACACCTTTAAAATGCACAAGAAAATAGTTTCAGAACAATAGAGAGAAACAAGATCTATGACACAAATTTTTGTTGATTTGAATTCTCATTGTACAAATAAGTGTCCGCCCTGCCGTGCGCTGTTCATTAGGTTTATTTTTATTTTAGGTTTTTTAGATCAATATGAACAAAAAAGATCTGTTATAAGTTTTCTCTAAACTTGATCGTTTTCGAGTCATAAATAATTTAAAACTGAAAAAACATGCAAAATTACCATTTGCACACAAACATGAAAAAAAAAATTATTTTTGAAATCATCAAGTGACGTAAATTCAGTTCTATCAGCACCCGACAAAAATTCTGGGCTTATTTCATTTTAAAGCATTGTGTTTATTTAATAATTGTACAATTGCACGTATTTGTACAATGAGAATTTAAACCAGCAAAATATGTGCCATTGATCTTGTTTCTCCCTCTTCTACACTTTCATAAGCGCTTCTTTAACGATTAAAAAACAATGTTCTAAAATTAAAAACGTCCAAAATATTTACAGGGAACTGATAGAACCAGGTTTGAACTTGAATATAGGTCCTTGGTAAATTCAAAAATAATATTTTTAGGTGTGTTTTTGAGTCTTAAAAATCGTAATTTTGCGTTTTTTCACTTTTAAATTGTTTATAACTCAAAAGGTTTAGAGAAAAATTACAAAAGACGTATTTTGTTCTGAATGGTAGAAAAAATTCAAAAAAAGAAGTTTTTCGTCTTGTTTAATAGATTTGCTTACTATAGGCATTGTTTGGGAAAGTATGTAGTATTTATTTTCATATTTTTTATTTAATATTTTTCTTTCACTGTACTATAATATGATCTAATTTAATGGTATATTCTTATTTATTTGCTTTAAAATGTATTGTTTCCTGTTATTTCGTAAAATCTCATTGTCAAACTGGCTTTAGCACATGTCTGTTTGTAAGTTCGAAGATGTTGACTTTCTTTTGTTATTTGAAAATTATATCGCCATTTAAAAGCGCATTACAATAGCGTTGAGTTATGGGATAAACTTGTCCCACGAACCTTTGACCATCATAAGAACAGCCAGAGGATTCTTGCTGACCATCTCAAGAAAACACTCCATCACGAGACAGGGTACTTAAAAACGGAATGTATAGTTCACCATCGAAATAGTTCTAATGAACGATCCTTTCAACTGAACTAATTGAACTAGTTCATTAATTTTCATAGAACTAGTTCACTGCGAACGATTTGCATTATAAATTATGTCTCAACTTCTAAAGAAGAAAATAATGAATGAATGAATTAGAACATATATTTATTATTTTGTGAATGGATGGACTAACTAGTTTAAAAAAAATGCCGATTAGCCTCAGATAACAGATTCATAATTCTTATGAATGTGACAATATATTATGCCCATGCCCATGTATTGGCTTGGATGTTGCCATGCTGTGTTGTTTCTTGTATTGTAATTTTGAAATAAAAATTTTAGTTGTGGTTAAAATGATTGAGGCACTTACATAAAATATAATTTTATGTAAAAGTGAGAATTAAAATGTGTTATTTAATCTTCCTAGAAAATTCACTGATTTTTTTTGTAAAGGTTCTTTTAGAAATAACCTAATTATAAATACCTATTAGTTTAAATATACGTAAATATAAAAATAAATCATACTTGAACCATATTTATATTTAAAACGGTTAATAAAAAACAAATCTTAATAATTTTTTGCAAATAAAAACTAACTAATCATATAATTTAAACCATTTAAACCTAAACATACGATCGAAAGAAATAGTTCCGAACTACTTGTACAGTAGTGAACTAGTGAAAGACTGACTGAAAGAAAATAATAGTTCCGAACTACTTGTACGGTAGTGTCGGTAGTGAACTAGTGAAGGACTGACTGAAAACCGAAGTAAACGGGCGGCCAGCGCCGAGCTTGTGTGATGATTTAGACGAGACATCTGGCAACCAGTTCTGTTAGGGTGGGATTTCGATGTCGGTCCTACAAATAGTTCTTTCGCGAACTAGTTCAGTGAACTAGTTCATTTTTGTGAAATAGTTCTGTTGAACTAGTTCGTCTAAAAGAACTAATAAGCACACCTCTACTTAAAACATCGAATGTATCGGTTCTCGTCCTAGCGATTCTGGGCGCCAAGCGTCCCTTAACGTCATCTAGTGGTACCCACGCAAATCCACTGGCTACGAATACAATAGTATTTCAAAGGGTGGACGATGCAGTTGTCACTTATAGTAACACTTTTAATAGTATGTTACACAGGAGTAACATTTGTTAACAGCTTACCTGTTGTGTCGGCAGATTTAGGTTCACAATGGATGAAAGTAGGAATTGTTTCACCAGAAGGTCCTATGGAAATTGCCTTAAAAAAAGAATAAAAAAAAGAACCCCAGCAGTTATTAGCTTTATGGTAATATAAGGCTTTTTGTTAAATATGTCTAAGCCATGGGTGTCCGTTTTCCCAAACAAACTTTCAGTTACCTTTTAGATCTAGTAGGTAAGAGTATAGACCATCCAAGGAATAAAAATCAACGGAGAATACGTAAACAACTTAAGATACGCAGACGATACCGTCATTATTGCGGACATTGCTGAGTGTTTACAATGACTTTTGAATGTCATAACTAGAGAGGGAGATAGCTTGGGACTAAATATAAACACAAATAAAACAAAAATAATGGCTGTTACACGTGCACCAAATTGTCGACGTTAATATTTGTATATATAACAAACATATAGAACCAGTACAAAGATTCCAATATCTTGGTTTCTGGATAACAAACAATCTTGACCACGAGGTCGAAATACGTGCTCATATAGAATTTGCTAGGTCTGCGTTTCAACGAATAAAAAAATTCCTAATAAACCCTACGTTATCGATGAATATCCGATACCAATTTGTAAAAACGTTTATTTATTTCATATTGCTATACGGAGTGGAAATGTGGACTCTCGAAATTACAAGTATGAGGAGTATAAAAGCCTTTGAGATGTAGATTTTTGGAAGGATGCTGAAGATCTTTTGGACAAAGTACGTGACCAAGAACGAGGTGCTAAGAGGAATGGGTACTGAGAGTGAACTAAATATTGTAAAAAATAGAAAAACGAGTTATCTAGGACATATTTACAGAGAAGAAAAATACAAATTCCTACGACTTATAATGGAAGGGAAAGTGGAAGGGGTCCAGGAAGAAGAAAATGCTCCTGGTTGAAGAATGTAAGAGACTGGACAGTCATGGACACACATTCGATACTAAGAACAGCTCAAGATAGAGAGTAATTTGCTGTAGTTATAGCCAACCTTCAGTAATGGAGAAGGCATCTTAAAAAGAAGAAGATAGACCATCCATAAGTGAAACTATATCAGGAACGGTTCCCTTATTATAACATTGTTGAGAATTCTTAAAGGACGACTGATTTATTTCAAATAGATGAAGAAACTGCTTACATTCCAGAAGAACTGCTGGCTCAGTTATTAGGAAAGGCTAAAGAATTTGCAAAAACCAGTGGCCAACAACCAATCAAGGAATGTGTATTGACTGTATCAGGTTACTTTAATCAAATTGAAAGAAAGGTTCTCTTACAAGCAGCTGAATTGGCTAGACTTAAGGTACTTCAGTTTATTAACGACTACACAGCAGTTGCACTTAATTATTAAATATTTAGATGTAAGTCATCTGTAATGATACAGCTCAATACGTTATGTTCTATGATATGGGAGCATCTTCTACGACTGCCACACTTGTTAGTTACCGGAGTGTAAAAACCAAAGACAAGTATTATGTTGAAATACACCCACAAGCTACAATTTTAGGAGTAGGTTTTGATAGAACACTTGAAGGACTCAGAATGCGAGTTAGATTAAGAAGCTACTTGGTTACTAAATTCAATGAGATGAAATAGACTAATAATGATATTTTTAAAAATGATAGAGCTATGGCTAAACTGTTTAAGGAAGCTGGTAGAGTGAAAAATGTTTTATAAACAAACGTAGAACATGTTGCACAGATCGAAGGGTTATTAGATGAAAAAGATTTAAAATTGCCAATTAAAAGGGATGAAATGGAAGCACTTTTTGTGGATTTGTTTGAGAAAGTTAACAAACCGATACAATAAGAGTTGAAAACGGCTCGCCTAACAATGGACGTCGTCAGCCAAGTAGTTCTAGTAGGAGCCGGTAACAGAGTACCCAAAGTACAAGAACATCTCAGAAACGCCGTTGGGCAAGAGTTGCCCAAAAACTTGAACACAGATGAAGCCGCTGCTATGGGGGCCGCTTATAAAGCCGCTGATCTAAGTACTGGTTTTAAAGTTGCTAAATTTATTACCAAAGATGCTGTTGTTTATCCTATTCGGGTTACATTTGAAAGACTTGCAGAAACATATGTTAAACAAGTAAAGCGCACACTTTTTGGCCTCATGAATTCCTATCCTCAAAAGAAGATCATTCAACAAACACACCAGTGACCTCTAAGTTTTACACAAAACAGGCATATAATAACAAAAAAACTCGTCAAATACATAGCTATTGCGAAGTCTTAAGAAACACTTATTTCCCTGAACTAATTCTCTGTGAAAAAATAAGTTATCACTGCAGCAAATAGTAAAAGAAACTAGTTATTTACGTAGTATAAAAATGAAAAACGCAAGATAAGAATTTGATAATTAAGTTAAACAGCATTTATGATACTGGCTAGATTCTTCTGTTAAAAAATTGTTATTTTATAGACAGAAGATGTATTTTGAATGTAAAAATTAACTTATTGGTACTTACTTCTGTCATGATGTTAGAGCTTTTGCACAGTCAAAATCTAACAATCAACCAATAAAACTATATTTTTAGTTTGTGTGTTGTGCACTCCAAATAATCATCGATACTCCAATAGATAAAATATACGCCAATAAAGATTAATTAATGATAAAATAAGTTAAACGGCTTATTTATCCAAAATGATAACTTTTATTCATAAAAATACTAAAGCTTTTTTCCAATCACACAGTAAGCACTTTGATTGCATATATCAATAGTTCTTTTGGGGTTACTTGGTCACGGATTATGTCGTTTTAAAAGTGTTTATCTTCTAACGCAAGGGTCATATACGCGGATTGCTAAAGTGCTATACGAGACGGGAAATATCAATTTATATTCAACTAAATATATTTGGATTATATTCAACATAAACAATTGAATTAAAAAAGTAATACAGTGGTTTCAAAACTGCGGACGCAGCCTTTGAAGAAGCGCAAATTTGAAGCTTGAAAAATATTAACTATGACATGCTTCCAAATTAATATAACTCATATCCTTAAAGTTTTCCGAAAAAAATAAATATGTATTCTCTAAAGCTATTTTCTTGTGGCATTGTAAATTAAATTATGTAACAAAAAACAAAATTTGTTTAATTTACTATTTGTATTTTGAGAACGATTTCCGAATTGGAAATTGAAACGTCAATAAATGTATTTTTATCTTTAATGTGGCTTATTCCCAGTTATAAATAGTAATGTATTCTCTAATTGTAAATTAAGTTTATTTTATTAACTAAATACAGAAAATTAAGTCTAAATATTTAAGGTTTATAATGTATTTTTATAGAACAGAAAGAGATCCGTGATCTTCGATGGCACGTAAATTTGGTCTTGCATGTGCAATAAGTCATAATATACAGTGGTGTTAAAAAGTCCTGCATCACCTTACCAAATACATGAAAATAGAAATTTAAGGCATTTACCTTAAACATTTTTTAACCATTTACTATCTACATCAAACAAGCACTTAAACACAATATTATAAAATGAAAACACAGCAAACATTTTGATAAATAAAAAAAATGTAGTTCGGAAATTTGTTTATTCAATATTACAAAAATTAGGTGATTTACATCAAGACTATATTGTACAGGGTTTCTCACTATATGTTGACCCCCTACTTATATTCCATTTCGAGAATACAAAAAAAAAGTTTCAAATAAAAGTTGTATTATTTTATCTGTACCGACCAACAGTGTAGCAACAGACCAAATTTTTTATACAGGTAGTTCCCAATAAAATGCATCTTTAATATTTCAAATGGGACACCCTGTATTTTTTTATAGTTTTGAGTAGCCCTGCATTTCATGATTACAAATATATAACATAGCATGATATAACGATACCAGATATGATATTGCCACGCACTAAACTCGTACACTCACGCGCATGACGTCACCTTGTGCTAAATTTTCAAAATGTATTCATGCTTGCGGATGAAACGAACTGTTGAAATTCTAATATAATTTACTAGATGTTTTATTTACTACGTGAATTTAATCTTAAGTATTTAAATTAGTATATTGTAAAAAATAACAATTTCCCCATAAGAGTGAAGTTTGATGGAGGGAGCCATGGCCGAATGACACAAATTGCAAACTATGGAATGTGATTTTCATACAATATATATTTTATATATAGTAGTTAGGTATTATTGACTGACACGTTAGGTAAACTATTTCTTTTGAGGTTGCAGTCATTAATAGGGCAGAATAAGTAAAACTCTTTGTTCTTTTACTTAGCTTTCACAAAAATTTACTAGCTTCTTCAGGATATGCTAAAATATGGTTATAATTATTTAATCTCATACCTACATATATATATATATATATATATATATATATATATATATATATATATTTCTTTTGAGGTTGCAGTCATTAATAGGGTAGGATAAGTAAAACTCTTTGTTCTTTTATTTAGCTTTCACAAAATTTATTCGCTTCTTCAGAATATGCTAAAATATGGTTAAAATTATTTAATCTCCCAACTATATATATATATATATATATATATATATATATATATATATATATATATATATATTTATATATATATATATATATATATATTTATATATATATATATATATATAATATATATATATATATTTATATATATATATATATATATATATATATATATATATACATAATAAATATTTAATAAAGTATTCAACTAGTGAATTCAGAGGATAATCGGTCGTTCAGGTTGGCAAAATAAAAAACAGAACTCAACTACTTCATAAGTTTATAGAAGACATTTCGCTCTATACTTCTAAAGCTTCATCAGTTCTAACTCAATATGTAGTATTTAAGATGTTATTATATATGTACTTAAGTTTACTCATTATTTAGAACTAACTTAAAAAAAAACAGAAACAAAGGACACAAAAACTTTGCAAAAAATAATATCATTCGCAGAAACGAATGAATGTTCTTGAACGGCTACGACATTATGTGGCGGTTTCGTCTAAATAAACGAAGGAATAGCATTCTTTTTGAAATGTGTTATACTTTCTTAAAAATTATATTCTTTTGTGAACGACACTGGCTCTTTCACACAAAGCCTTTCTATTGTTTTCCTTTTTGAACTTAATGCCAATCTGTCTTAAAACTCTCCAGAAACTTGTTCTGGAAATTTCAAATATATTTCTGTCTTTTAATTTTTGTAGTACTGAATCTAAAAAAAAACACGTTGTTTCTTTTCGCGAATTTTATATATTGTCTTACGGATTTCAAATTTACAACCTTCGGTAAGATCTATAGTAGGACATTTTGTTCACTTTGTCCACTTTTTTTGCTTTTTGCAAAACCGTTTTGTTTCACTAGAACAGAGTGCATCATACATACACATGTTTATGTACGGACTAAACTGGTCGCAAAGGGCCCCCGTTGGTTTTTTCAGCAGTAAAATAAGAAAGTATATTAAATATAAAGATGTCTACATATAAAACACATCTCGGCATTTTGGCTTCAATAAACAAATACACTACACTAAACCTTCTCTTAACGGACGCTTCCCTTCATCGGATATCTCTATGGCAATATATGAAACTGTATGTAAATTTTCGTTACTTTTTAATATCTGTAAATAGTGTAATATCAAAGTAAATATAAATAAATCTAAAATAGTGTACTATCAAAGAAACCTAGCACGTCTCTTTGATCTTTACATTTCACCGAAACCCAACCCAAATGTCTGATGAACACATTTGGGTTTTGACACATTCATAGACGTCATTGTATTTATTTGTAAGAGAGTTTGCGTAAAATTTTTTGTTATTTTCGGATTAAATTTTACAATAAATTTTGCGTCTATCTGAACATCTATTAACTGAAATAATTTTAGTTTAGATGTCATACTAGCAGTACATCCTTTTTATTGGAATAATGATTAGACCAAGTTACTTTGATACTTGTACTTACTACACAGTAAAATATTCGTTGTCGCAATAATCCAAAATAGTCGTATATTCGTGGAATAACCTATATAGGACTCGCCTGAGGCATATTTGGAGGGTTAACCAATCTGTCGTTCTCCTGGTGTAATGGCATGACGCTAGGTGGGGCCAAAATATGATTTCATCATCAGGGTAATGAGTGTTTATAAATTGAAGAAGCTTTGTAAGACACCTGTCAACGTAATTGTCAGCATCGAAGCTTCACCGCGAACATGCCCAACAAACGGTTGTGAGACACCAGCTTATGAGATGGCACACCACGCCAAAATTTTATCGGGGCAAATTTCACTTTTCCCTTAAGCCTAACTTCGTCCGGTGCATTTTGTCGATTGCATGTACAAAATCCATCGCTGCCTTGCATTTGGGAATTGGATAAAAGAAAATACTTTTTCTCATTAAAAATGATAATTTTACCAGGAAAATGAATACGTCTTAATGCACGGCAACATCTAGGAATTAACTTTGCTGGTGTGTACTTAGGAGCTTTTTTATTTTATATCGTTTTAAATTATTTCTAGAAATTGTTCTACTTACAGTCATTCGTGAAACAATATATCTTCGGCCAACATTTCGCAACGAGTTTCATAATTGGTTTTTCATACTCAATATCTGTTCCCGAGCAGAAGGTAAAACTCTTTGTCTTCCACTTTTGGCAAATTAATGCATGGTATACCATTTTCGCACTCTTTAATTGTCTGGTAAATCTTTGACACAGAAATATTTTGAGCACTAAAAATTCTTACAATATCCGATTTTGGTACATGTCCAACTAAACGATAAATACTTTGACTGACATTGTTTATATCGTTTAAGTTGTTTACTAACTTTAGTTTCCAATGGAAAGTTTGTTTGTTTGTTTATTTAATGGGATGAACCCTTTTTTCTTACAAAAATTACAATATACACATATAATTAACATATAAACTGTAGTCATATATTACAATTTTAAAAAGTATTAATAACATTAATGTCTCAATTTCTTTAAACTATTCTTGAACGAGGACACGGATAAATTAAACAATTCAACACTATCTTGCAAATTATTGGCAGTTCTCAACATCCTTGTGATTGACTCACTTTTACCATTATTAGTGTGATGAAACTTTAGTCTACAGGTCAGGAGAGCGTGTTCTTCTAGAATTTACATTAAAAACAATTAATTCCAGCAGTTCCGGACAATCAACATAACCATTAAGAATTTTATGCAAAAAACGCAATTCACACTCAGATTCTCTATTTTCTAAAGTTTTCATATTAAGTTGACAAAGAATATAGTTATAATCACAGTTAGTTCTATTAAAACCCATTTTATACCTGCAAATTCTTAGGAATTTATTTTGAACTCGTTCCAACTGACCAATATACATATTATAATATGGATACCAAATAATATTACAACATTCCAAAAGGGACCGAACTAGAAAACAATACAAAATTTTGAAAGTAAATATTGAAAATTCTCGGGAGTTCCTTTGAACAAAGCCGAGCATTCTATAAGCCTGCGATGTAATATTATTAATATGCCTATCAAACATTAGTCTTTGGTCA